CATCAATTACTCATATGCAAATTCAAACTGAAGCTGAAGAAAATGAAAACAAGTCCACGAGAGCCAAAATACAACCCTGAATATATCCCACCTGAATTTAGAGATCAACGGAAGGACAGATTTGATACATTAAACACTAAACAACGAAGACCAGAAGAGTTGTGGGATGGCATCAATAAGATCATACATGAAGAAAGCAAAAACTCATTAAGAAGACAAGAAAGAAGGAAAAGGTCAAAATGAATGTCAGAAGAGACAGAAACTTGCTCTCTCCAGCATAGAGATGCTAAGGCAAATGGAAGAAATAAGGAGGTCCAAGAGCTGAACAGAAAATTTAAAAGATCAGCTTGAGAAGATAAAGCCAAATATTACAATAAAATGTGCAAAGATCTGGAATCAGAAAACCAAAAGGGAAGAACATGCTCAGCATTTCTCAAGCTGGGGGAACGGAAGAAAAAATTAAAGCCTCAACTTTCATTATTGAAAGATTCTCTGGGCAAATTACTGAATGATGCAGAAAGCATCAAGAGAAGATGCAAGGAATACGCAGAGTCCCTGTACCAAAAGGTAATGGTTAACGTTCAGCCGTTTCAAGAGGCAGCATATGATCAAGAGCCAATAATACTTAAGGAGGGAGGAAGTCCAAGGTGCATTGAAGGAATTTAACAAGGCACCTGGAATTGCTGTAATAAAAATTGCAATCTTTCAAGAAAGTGAGGCGGCACAGGAAGCACCCCCTCATCTATGCCAAGAATTTTGGAAGACAACTATCTGAGTGCCCATTCCAAAGAGAGGCAACCCAAAAGGATGTGGAAATCATCGGACAATCTCTTTGATATCCCATGTGAGTAAAGGTTTACTAAAGGTGATACAGAAACGGCTGCGAGCATACATTGACAGAGAACTTCCAGTAGTTCAAGCCAGATTCAGAACAGGCCGTGGAAAGAGGGCTATCATTGCTGATGTCCGATGGATCTTGGCTGAAAGCAGAGAACATCAGAAAAATGTTTACCTATGCTTTATTGACCACGCAAAGGCTTTTGATTGTGCGGCTCATGACAAGCTATGGACAACATTGCAAAATATGAATATTCCAGAACACGAATTGTGCTCATGAGGAATCTGTACCTGGAACAAGAGGCAGTTGTTTGAACAGAATATGGGAACAATGAATGTTTTAAAATTAAGAAAGGTGTGCGACAAGGTTGTATTCTTTCATCATACTTATACAAACTGTATGCTGAGCAAATAATCCGAGAAGCTGGGTTACATGAAGAAAAACGTGGCTTCAGGATTGGAGGAAGACTCATTAACAACCTGCAATATGCAGATGATACAACCTTGCTTGCTGAAAGTGAAGAGAACTTAAAATATTTACTGATGAAGATCAAAGAAGCACAACCTTCGGTATGGATTACATCTCAACGTAAAGAAAACAAAAATCCTCAACACTGGACCAATAAGCAACATTCTTATCAATGGAGAAAAGACTGAAGTTGTTAAGGACTTCATTCTTCTTGGATCAACTATCAACACTCATGGAAGTAGCAGTCAAGAAATCAGATGATGTATTGCATTGGGCAAATCTGCTGCACAAGACCTTTTTTAAAGTGTTGAAGAGCGAGGATGTCAGCTTGAGGACTAAGATGCACCTGACCCAAGCCATGGTATTTTCAATAACTTCATACGCATGCAAAAGCTGGACAGTGAGTAAGGAAAACCACAGAAGAATTGATGCTTTTGAGTTATGGTGCTGGAGGAGAATATTGAAAGTGCCATGGCTGCCAAGAGAACCAATAGATCCGTTTTGGAAGAAGTGCAGCCAGAGTGCTCCTTGGAGGCCAAGATGGCCAAACTTCATCTCTCATACTTGGGACATAT